TGGAATACAGTGGCACAACCTCGGCTCACTGCAACATCTGCCTGCTGGGTTCAAGTAATTCTCCTGCCTCAGCCTCCCAAGTAGCTAGGATTACAGGCATACATCATCATGCCCAGCTAATTTTTGAGTTTTTAGTAGAGACAGGGTTTCACCATGTTGCCCAGGCTGGTCTCAAACTCCTGGGCTCAGGGGATCCACCTGGCTTGACCTCCCAAAGTGCTGAGATTACAGGCATGAGCCACCACACCTACCCTGTGTACATACAGTTTTAAAATTAAATTAATGCTATTGATTAACAGTAAATTATAGTTAAATCGCAATAATTCCATTGCCTTCCACAAGTCTGCGTATTTTTAATAATATAATTATAACAACAAAACTTTATATGTAAAAGTATCTTATAGTCTGTTTTTTTCACTTAATACTTATACATACTATTTGTGAATTGTTGTTTTATTAAGCTGTACATCTGATGTTAGAGATGTATGTGTTTATAATTTCTTGCTAGTATATATAACACTCCTCTGAACATTTATTTATTGTATAGCTACTGTTTGCTTTTATTGAATAAATCATTTGGAAAAATTCCTGTGAGAGAAATTACACAGGAGGATTGCTTGAAGCCAGAAGTTTGAGATCAGCCTAGTTAACACAGTAGACCCCATCTCTACAAAAAATAAAAATACTAGTTGAGTGTGGTGGCATATACCTGTAATCCCAGCATCTTGAGAGGCTGAGGCAGGAGGATCATTTGAGCCCAGGAGTTCAGGACTACAGTGAGCTATGATTGTGCCACTGCACTCCAGCCTTGGTTACAGAGTGAGACTCTGTCTCAAAAAACAAAACAAAACAAAATAGAAACGAAAAAAAATTTACAGAGTTAGAATATTTGGCTATCTGCTGCTTTTCTACTCATTCTCCTCTTGTTATGTCTTTATAGAACAATAATTTTGTTTGGGTTTAGGGGGCAATTTGGCCAAAAACCATGAGGCAAGCCCAAGAGCATGAATTTGCCTTATAAGCCAAAAACTGGAAATTCCCATCCCTTCTGCCAGGGATCAGTTTAAGAATAAAAACTGACTAAATAAGACAAAAGAAAAATGGCTGGCGACCAATGTCACACAGTCTTGTAAGAATTTTGTTGTACGTATTTCCTCTCTTGCCTGTCTGCTTAACCTGCTCTACCTATTTTTTTTGTTTGTTTGTTTTTGTTATATACCTGTATTTTAAAAATAAAATTGAGATTACATGAGCAGAATTGGCAATACTAGAAATCCTATGACCCAGCTCTCTTTTCCTATTGACATATCAACACTGGGACCAGTCAGTATCAGCTTGCTGGAAAAAGATGCAGAAAATGGGGAATTAAAAGAATCAAATATTTACTTACTTCAAGCCAATATAGCCAATTACATCTTTTGGCTCACAATAGTAGTCCATTTTGCCAACAAGAGTAGAAAATTCTCAAACCTGATGGCTAAATATCCTTTTTCTGAGAGCAAATCAATTTCAGATATGTCGATACTTTGTTCATTTGCTTGCAGTCAAGTTCAGTAACCTTGGAGCTGGGTTCCTACATGTTGATGTTATGTCCATTTTAACTAGTACAGACCCACATTTTTCCCCCGTACATCCAAGTTTTTGAGGGACATGTGGATGCCTGCTAGTATTGTCTGTCTGTCTACTACAAATGTGTGTTTATATCTTACACATACACACACACACACACACACACACACACACACACAATTGTAGGCCTTCAGAGGACAGTGGTTTGGAATGATCAGGAAAGACTCAGATGGTCCTGAAAGACATGGAAGCCTTGAAGGTAGACATGAATACTAGGATTAAAAGTGTTCCAGGGGTAGAAAATAGAAAGAATAAACGCCAAAAGTGAGGAAAGAATAAAGGGATGTTCTAGACCAACGGACTATAGCTAGAGTTTGATGTCTGGGTAGGCGACTAGTGGGAGTCAGGGCTGGAAAGAACAGTTTGGAGAGTGTTGTAGAGGGCTTTGAATACCGGAGTTGAATTTCTGTTTGGTGGACAATGGGAAGACATTGAGTATTTTCTAGTTGGAGAGGATCTGATCACAGCTGGGATTGGATCTGCACCTGTGATGGACAGATATCCGTACACACTGCCTTAGTCTACTTGGGTTGCTGTAACAAAGCTGTAGACTCAATGGCTTAAACAGCAGACATTTATTTCTGACAGTTCAGGAAGCTGAAGATTCTAAGATCAAGGTGCCCCAGATTCAATTTCTGATGAAGACTCTTTTCCTGGCTTCCAGACGTCTGTCTTCTTGCTGTGCCCCACGTGGCTGAAGGAGAGACCTATGGGTTCTTCTCCCTCTTCTTATAAGGATAATAATCCTATCATGGGAGCTCCACCTTCATGACTTCATCTAAACCTAATTACCTCCCAAAGGCCTCACCTCCTAATACTGTCACATTAAGGGTTGGGCTTCCACATATAATTGGAAGGGAGGCACAAACATGCAGCCCATACATGTACCATCTGGGTGTCTGTTATTACCATAATTCAAATGAGAGGAAGACCTGAACAAGGATGAGAATGCAGCAAGAGCAAAAGGCATTGCAGAGGAGAGGGAAAGAAGAGTTCACAGACTCTCAGATGTTGAGCCAGGGTGAGTGTAAGAAAGTGCCATCATTGGAATTGTGGTTAAGTGGTTAGGGATGTTTTGGATGTGCAGAGATGTTGAATTCAATTTAAGTTGTGTGACCTGAGGGCAGAACATAGAGATAAGTGCAAGCCCTGTGAGACAGAGATTAAGTTCAATAGAAATGTACTGTAAGCAAAAAAACACAAGCCACACATAATGTAAAGTTTTCTAGTAGCTGCATTTTTAAAAAGTCAAAAGAAGCAAGTGACATTAATTTGAATAATATATTTTATCTAATTCAATCTATAGAAATATTATTCCATTATATAATCAATATAGTCTAACATTGCAATGTGCTTTGTTTGGCTACGTGTCAAGTACTCAATAGCTGTATATGTCTAGAATGGTAAACGTAGAAGCCAGTTACAAAGTCAGCTCTTTTCTTTTTTCTTTCTTTTTTTTCTGAGATGGAGTTTCACTCTTGTTGCCCAGGCTGGAGTGCAATGGCGAGATCTTGGCTCACTGCAGCCTTGGCCTCCTGGATTCAAGCAATTCTCCTGCCTCAGCCTCCAGAGTAGCTCTAATTACAGGCGCCTGCCACCACGCCCAGCTAATTTTGTATTTTTTTAGTAGAGACAGGGTTTCACCATGTTGGCCAGGCTGGTTTCAAACTCCTGACCTCAGGTGATCCACCTGCCTCGGCCTCCCAAAGTGCTGGGCTTACAGGTGTGAGCCACTGCGCCCAGCCTAAAGTCAGCTCTTTTCTTTGCTTGTGAATGTGAACCCATGTTTGAGTTTTTCCTGCTCTTTTGCTATTATGAACAATGCTCATATGAAGCAGTCATATACACAACTCTTGGAGGGGGGATTCTGAACAGTAGTATCGCTGGGAAATAGCAAGAGAAATAGTACCAATTTGTTTTCTAAGGTGGTTCTTCCAGTTTACACACTCACTAGTAATGTGTGAAAGAGTCCTCTCCCACCAGGCGCAGTAGCTCACGCCTGTAATCCCAGCACTTTGGGAGGCCAAGGCGGGTGGATCACGAGGTTAGGAGACTGAGACTATCCTAGCCAACATGGTGAAACCCCATCTCTACTAAAAATACAAAAATTAGCCAGGTGTGGTGGTGCATGTCTGTAGTCCCAGCTACACAGGAGGCTGAGGCAGAAGAATCACTTGAACCTGGGAGGCAGAGTTACAGTGACCCTAGATTGTCTCAAAAAAAAAAAAAAAAAGAGATAGAGAGAGAGTCCTCACCTTATTCCACATCCTCAGGAACAAGTACAGTCACATTTCTTCATTTTGATCAATTGAGTCCGTGTAAAATGGCTTTGTATTTTGTTGTAATTTAAATGTTTTCTGATGATTACTAAGTTTGAACATTTTTCATATCCATAAGAACATTTTTCATTCAAATATAAATACGTTTTATATAACTCATATACTGTCATTTAAGTGTTGTATAATATATTCCTTCAAATATAAAAATTTGTTCTCTCACAAATACATATTATATAACTCATATACTGTTATTTATATGTTGTATAATATATTCTTTAAAATATAAAAATTTGTTGTCTCAAATACTTATTGAACACCTGCTATCTGCCGCATATTGATCTAGGCACTTGTGGAAAAAAGTAGTCCCAAATTCCTGCCATTGTGGAGTTTACATTCTAGGGCATGTTGGAGGGGGGCAAAGAAAAGTAAAATACCGTGCATTATATGGTGTTAGAAAACTTGGGTTTAAGTCTGACTCATATTTCACCTCATTAAATCTTGGCTTCTGCAAATGTAAGAAGGAAATGGTAGTACTACCTATTGCACGTTGTTTATTAAATGCATATGAAGGACTTGGCACCGTATCTGGTAAAAAATAAGGATTCTGAAAATGTCAATGGCAATAATAATAATAATAATGACAATATTATTTCCCCCCCTTTCTTGCTTCTACTTTTTCTTTAGTAATTTTTTTAGTTAGAACTACTAAAAATTTAAGGTTAGCATATTTTGGTTGTTGTTGAAGTGTTGGCTCTCCTTTAGGTGAACTTGTGTTTTCTGCAACAAGACATGACTTTGGCTTATTTTGAGATGTGTTATTTTCAAGCTTCTTAAATTCCAAAAACCAGGAGCCTGAAGACATGCATGTTTTAAAGAGCTACATCATGTTGAATAGCCACAAGTGTGGGAAAATACCAAGGAATGTCATGTATAATTCAGGACTCTGATCTCTGAGTATAAATGTTGCTTGAATTAATCATTTCAGTCCAACAACCAATTTATTGAAAACCGACTATGTGCAAAGTACTGTGTAGAGGAGATGCACATGACCTTAACTAATCTTTGAAACAATTATTTGTCCCCCTTTCTTAGATAATGATGTTGAAAATGATCTTCAATCAGACATCAGTTGAGCACTGCAAGACACACACAGGGAAGCAGAAAGAATGCAACTTCTTCTTAATAGCTGTTCGCCTGGCTTCACTGAACCAGATCTTGGATCCTTGGGTTTATCTGCTGTTAAGAAAGATCCTTCTTCGAAAGTTTTGCCAGGTAGCAAATGCTGTCTCCAGCTGCTCTAATGATGGACAGAAAGGGCAGCCTATCTCATTATCTAATGAAATAATACAGGCAGAAGCATGAAAAAAACCACTTAACTTGCATGTGCACAGCTTTTGGTAACAAATATCGCTAAACCTTACTGTGAATTTAGGCATCTCTGGCATGCCACTGTTTATGCTTTGAGTGAAATTTTTGGTATAAAGCTAAATGGTCTTAGAATCATAGAAAATCCCCTATGTGCCAAAAGTAGTGAAACACAAACAAGAGAAAATATATTAATAACAGCCTAGTGTTTTTGTTGAGTCTGCCATTTGTAGCTGAATATGTGATTAATTATGTGATGAAAACATTTTTTATAAATGATCTTGGTCTATTGGGGGGCAGGGATGGTTGATATTCCAGTACACTGAATACTTGAGGAATTTAACCACATATATCATTAAAGACAAGGCATAGAAGTGTGTTTTTCTTCAAAGATATTGCTGTGTTCTCTTTCATTGCCTCTTTCGCTTTCTCTCTGTCACTTTTTTCCTCCTTACAATAAAAAAAAAAGTTTAATTAGGTTTAAAAATGTATAATGTTCCATAATATTCATTGATTCTGTTATTTAAATATTGCTGAATATAGCAAATTAGCTCCTAACCTTACAAAGTTTTAGTTGGATTGATAATTAGGTTTACTCTTTATGTGAATAAGAGCCAATTCCATTTGTTTGAAATATGGAATTTGTGACTACCCAACTTGCTAATTATCCTTTCTTTTGAATGTATTTTACTTTCCCACAAGCCTGGGGAAGATTCATGAAACTAACCTTTGAGAGTGATGAAGCGGTTTTTCAGAATACTATGTAAGGACCAATTTGAGCACTAACTATAGGTAGTCTGAATATGTATTTCCCTTGATTTTTTTCACCAAAAGTGTTCTCTATAGTCTTTTGACTCTTTAAATTCCAATACTGATCCCAAAACAAATAAATATTTGAAGATTCAATGAATACTTTCCACAGTTTGGCCTATTTATATAAGAAAATTAATAACATTGACCCCTCATAGCTCTTCTTCTGCCTGGTCCTCAAAGTGGCTCTATCCAAATATTTATTACTAAAATGTTTTTCCTACAGTCTGCAAACCTCTATAGCTAAGCTTGACTTATTTGTACACACGTAGATCACTACATTAAGTTTTGGGAATTGCGCTTCTTAAAAATTCTCCCCACTAAACATAGTAATCCTATAAATTACGCCTACACAATGCTTGTCATATTCTTTGGTGCATTCATTTTGTAAACCCATTAACTTCTTTTTATTGTGAAGATTTCACTTGCGTTCCTTGCACTGCTTTTCTAGCTTTTTAAAAGCTTGAGATTTATTTATTCTTCTTGTAGTAACTGCATTTGTGTGTGTGTGTTTAGTGGTCATTTGGTAAATAATTTCGATAGGTACAATATGTCTATCAGATTAATGTATATACCAGCCTATGTCAATCAGTACTAATCATTTTAAATAACATGACAAATTGAATTTGAAGACAAAATCTACTGAGGGTGCTTATATAATTCAGGATGGTTCTACTAATGTAAATTTTGGAAAAAGTGATAGTCTATACTAAAACCTCTCCATGCCATAAAATTGGATTAGCCCATAGGTTACCTCATGGGGTATAACACAAAATTACCTACTTTTTTTCAAAAATGCACTTAAATGACATAATAAAGAGGCTTTACCTCTTGGGTGGTCCTGTGACCCCAAGTTCTAATCAGATAGACACACAGGCACTGTGAATTTGAGTGGTGTGAGCATGATTTCTTCTAGCACCTAGTATAGCACCTGGAATATAGAAATTGTCCAATAAATATTTATTCAGTGAATCAATGAGCAGAAGTTTGCCAAAACCGAGTGCACGTTGGCAAGGCACATATCTTGTGATGGAAGTGTTTTATGCCATTACAGTCCATCAGGCTGATAAAGTGAATTATTTCTGCTTATTTAATTACAGAATTTGAATTTATCTTCAAGGGTGTAGTGTCATATTGCTGTATCACAAAGTGCTTTATTTATACTAATAATTTAGGAGACTGGTACTTCCAAGTGATAATGGAGATTACTATCAAAAGAATATCACTTTTCATCAAACCACAAAAAATACAGAAAGGCAAAAAGGCTGAAGCTTAGTCTTAACTGCAAAATAAATTCCTGCCCATGGGTTATGTTTTAGGAAGGGATGAATGGCAGGTATTTTCATTTTGTTTTGTTTTTAATAAGCTTGAAAGGGAGGTGGAAAGGAAAGAAATTATGTAAATGGCATATGAGTTTTGTTAGCTAGGCATTTGTTAGTCCAGGGAAACCTGATAAGTAATGAAAATCCCAAATGATTTCAGCCTTTTCATGGTTGTTGAGGTTCGGTTTCAGAGATGTACAGAGACTAGAATAGTGGTTAGAAAGAGGACATATGTAGTCACAGTAGAAAGACGTATCTAGGTTTAATTTTATTGGCCTTCAAGTTCACTCTTACATACTTAGTTTGTCCATACATATGTCTAATCAGAAAAAAATGCATGTATAGATTATGACAATTCCTTGAACTTTGAAGTATTGGTTAAAAGACAACTAAAGGCCAAGAGAACCATGTGGGAAGAAGTAAGCGAATGGAATATATGTAAATATTTTTATATGGAATATATGTTGAAACATATGTAAAATTATCAAGTGTCAATTTTACAAAGTAGTGCTGATTTTCCAAACAATGAATTTGTATACTATGCTGAATCATAGAAGAAAACGATCACACATTACTTAATGAGAAGTTTATTTTTCAAATAAAATAGGTATGGTGAATGTCTTAAAAATATCTTGAAGTTGAAGAAACAAAATGAGTTATCTCAGTATTTACCAAATTAACCTAGTGCTCTATGTGTCCCAAGGTATTTCAGGTAAATATAAGTGCTTAATCATACCAGATTTAAACTAGTCTGAAATATTGGATATACATATATTTCTACTTACACTTCTTTATTTTAGGAAATATCTCTTGACTGTGTTGCAGAAAATAATTGTGAAACCTTATGTAAGTTAACTATGAAAGATCCTGATTGAGTGACAGACAAACTAAAAATTAACAAACACTATTTTAATAATGAGGTAACTCTGCGGCAATATTCTAATATTGCATTTTCTAGTAGATTAGGCTTTTTATTTATTCAATGTTTTTTATAATTTGTTCTTTTTGACCCCAATTAGTGATCAGCTTTCAACCTTCTCCACATCAGCAATCATTTAATAGTTCTTTTGGTTGAGATCAACTCAGAAAAAGAAAATAGAAAACTTCTGTTCTTTGAAATTTTAGACATACATAATATCTATTTCTTTTCATAATTTAACCCCAAAAGCTTCTCCTGCAATATACCAGATTCAGGAGCTGAATAACACAAGGAGACTACAGAGTATTTATTATTACAAACACAGAAAAAGCTTAATTTGAATAATTAAAATTTCTATTTTTTATCTATATAACAAGTATAAGCCATCAACAATGACAAATTTTCACAGCTGCTTATTTATTGCTTGTTTCATATATTTGTAAATCTCAAAATCTGTTAAAACTGATGTCTAAAAACTGTACAGAATTGTGCAACTGTGGCTTAGTCCATAAGACTGTTCTCTGGGTTGCAATAAAATGCTGACACAGAGTGACAGATGTCTGTGATGATCATGACATAGGTTATGATACAGCCAATTTACAAAATTTAATAATCCACCTAAACTCACATATATATTTGTTAAGAAGCTGACATCAATTCAGTATTATAAGGAAACTAACCAGATGGTGATGATGATAAGAGAATTAGAGAAAATATTTTATTTGATATATTCTCTGTTTTATAATTCCTAAAATGAAGATTCTATTTAAGGGTTATAATTTACACAAGTTTAGTCATACACCATTACATTATGATATCATAAGCAGATTGCATTATGATTCTTTAGAAATACAATTCAATCAGATATGTATCATATTCATTTATATGTCACATACTTTCTTTAATAAGAGAATAAACATTATCTTATTTTCAGAAGCTTTGTATCAATTAGTTTCATGTAATAAGCAATGCAAATGTCTACTAGATTACATATTTCTTCATTTGAAATTACACTGTTTTCTCCTAGTCCCCTTGACTCCACTGTGCTTATCCATTCTTTCATGGAGAGGAAATAACAGACATATTTCCTATTGGTGAGGCTGGGATTGTTTTTAAGAGGAGAGATAATAACTTCATATTTTTAATACACCCTAATAGGCAAAACAGATCAGAATCTGTTTTGTAGTAAGTCTCCTTTGCTGAAGAATTTATTATGAAGTAAAGATAAGAAGGAAGGAGATCACCATCAGAAACAAATCAGTCTTTTCATGCTTTTTTGAGCATTTTGGAGATAATTCCACTTTTCAAGTTATTGTCATTCATGCGTCTCTTCAATACTATTTGTTAAATGCTTCAGAATTTGAATATTTTGATCCTTTAATTAAAGTGAACCAAATGTCTAGGCAAAAACAGCCAATCACCAAACTTTAATGATAATTCAAACGTAGTTTCCTTATACAGTTTTCCATGTCTGTAGAAATCAAAACTGTAATGTGAAGCAGGGCGAAATGCATGTGATTTACGAATACACTTCTGTGTTCTTTCTCCTTCTGAAAGGATACTTAGGTGGGTGGGATAGAGAACATAGAAAAAGATATGATGGAAAACCTGTCCCTTTTCAACCTGTTAAACCTCTTCATCATTTTGGGCCAGGGCCTGGAAGCAAAGAGAGGAAGGGACTGACTGCGTTTGTCTTTGCATACTTGAGCATCAGTAGGAGAAATTCCTGAGTGGCCAGGGGTCTTGTCTGTAAAAGCAAATAAGTTCTCTCAGGCCCTTATTGACTGCTGAACTCTCTTCCTTCCCAACTCTTGCTTGAAAGAGAAAAAAATAGTTTCCCTTCTCCTCTTTATCAA